GCGGATTCATTGTGTCCGGTGGATGTGACCGCAAAATTCGCTTTTGGGACTTGGCTCGACCCGAATTATCCTCGATTGTCAGCGGACTGGACGTTGTTTCGGAAAGCGGAACAGCCGGAAAGCCGCGTTATGAAGTGTCCCAGCCGGGCCCATCCCTTGTAGTGACCTCCGAGCACTTCCCTAATTCTAATGCAACTGCCGCTACTACCGGCTCGGGCGGAAAGAACAACAAAAAGGGGACAGCCGGAAGACTGCCACGCAGCACTGTGATTAGCCTGCAGCAGCAACAGCTCCTAAAGAGTCACTTAGACTTCATTCAGGATGTCGCAGTACTCCGGGTTCCGTATGGAATGGTGATCAGCGTCGATCGCGCCGGAATGGTTTATGTTTACCAATGATGATCATGCTTCTATCATGTATAGTAATACGACTCAATGTTAATAGTGATAGAATCACAGCTGCTCAAAGCCTTCCAGACCATAGATTGAGGATACTACATAACAGCAGTTTCTGCCCGTTTCTACGATATATTTCGGATGTAAACTCTGTATATGATGATGTTAAAAGTCTACCTCTCCCCCCCCCCCCAACACTACTAGCGGAACGACCGGGGGGGATAATATATATGCAAATGCGAAACGAGAAAAGACAATGAAGACTACTCGATCACAGCCAAGCATATAATGCTTCATGAACAACTGAGTTCTTTAGCATAATGGTGACAGAAATATATATATCGCAAACCCACTACTTAATACCATCAATCCCAACCCCGCAGCAACTTAGGTATATAGTCTCTACTAGTAGCTAGCACTAAATTTGTACATGTGGGAGTATTGAGGGGTGGATAGCGTGGTAGATGAACCTATATACAAGCCACTTTTGAATGGATGATTAGTCTGTCTGGTATGGTGTATAGTGTTCCAATGCTTCGAAAGTTGGTGCTGGGGGCTATAGTTTGGTCGAAATTAGGTTATATGGATACTCTGCTTATTTGAAAGCTCCAATCAAGTAAACATGCTTAAACTATTGGGCCCTCTCATATAATATGTGTAAGCTACGGGAGATTTTAGATGCTTTAGCCTGTCAATTGGTTCTCAATAGGCCTCAATTACCAATAAACGTACCAGCCAGCTAGCTCAATTAAGTTACTCAAAAAGAGATGTCATGCCCTAAAAAGGAGAGCAGTTCATCTGCATGGAACACAAACCAACAAAAGTTATGCAATCTAACTAACATCGACTAAATTGTCCACGGTTTTGGGGCGCCTTACCAGACGGCTGGCAACAAAGAAAAGGAAATTGCGGAAACCTTAACACGGGTCGGGGAAAATGATAAGGTTATTAGCGCTGGTAAATGCTCCGCGCTGCAAGGGTTTGGGTTATAATATATATGGTCGTTGGACTTGTGTAGATGGGTTTATGTGCTTGGAAAGGTCCATGGCGCCGTAGCCTAATGTTTTCGCACGAAATAGCTGGGAATGAACACGTGCGCGACGACTATTGCTGCCTTGCCATGTGTTGTTTGGTGTAGGTATATCCTATGTACTTTTGTTGTCCCCCTATCCCAAGCCCCGTTTTTAATCAATATGATATAATATGATATGATATGTATCATTGTATATTGCCCCTTAACTCGGGATATGGCGGGAGGAACGGTCCAACGGTCAACGGGCCATGTACCCCTGTTCTTAGCCCGAGCGGCGTACAGGTTCGACGCTCAATATAGATACATGGAGAGGTTTAGCAGTATAGATAGATGAGTAGTTGAATCGGTGGATCCGAGACCGTGGATGGTGAAACACTAGACAGTGGATAGATCACAGACTGGCAGTAAATGTCATGCACTTCGCCTTTGTTCAAGGGAGACGATTGTTATGAACTCTCATAGTGCCGTCCATGATAATTGCTAATTAAATCATTAGTATATGTAGGGTTTAGTTTTGCTTCGCTCTAAGCAGGGTATATGTACAGGAAGCTCATGTCAAGAACGGAGAGTATCAGGAGTGGTATATACCGTTTGCTTCTAGATGGGGTTGCTGGGATTATGAGCAGATCAGACGGCGGCTTTTTTTTTTTTTTTTTTTCTTTTTTCTTTTTTTCTTTGCTTGCTGTCCCTGGTTAAGATTAATCTGCCCCGTGGCGTCATCTCTTGGCTTTACTTTGCATTCTGACATTGGCCTCAAGAGGGTATTTACATGTCATGGATTTTGTACAGGTCAATTAAGCTGACAATGACATACAATGAGGGTCTCCAATATTGAAGATGCTGACGGAAGAGTTCGACGTCCGAGCTCGTCAACAGGAACCTGTTCGCATATACGTTTCGGAATTAGGCTGCTACACCAAAATACAGACTGAATCAGAAGGCGTAGGAAGTAGAGTGTGGTATCAATAAACAATAACAATGCCGGTGATCTAGAAGAGTAGCCTCTCTATCTTGCTATACACGTTGAAATAAGGTACTGCGTGCTAAACATCTTGTCCTTTTTTCCAAGATTAGCCCGACAGCATCCATGGATAATCGCTCGGCAAGTGAATCTTGACCGTAATTACTGGTTCGCCTAAGAGTCTGGGCCGCTGGGTCAGAACCAGAGAACCGAACCGAGATTCCCGTGAGGGAACCCATGGAAAAGAAAGACCCCACGACGACGGGATCGTGTTTGTTATTTATTACCTGTACGGAGTGGTCAATACCGATACGTGGAAGCAGAATTTTCCTTCTATTGTTCTCTGAAACACACAGCTAGTTACATATTACATGATGTGGCTCACGTATTCTCCGAGTCGATAGTGACTTCGATAGTAAGTTACTATAAAAATAGCGGTCAGTTGCCTGCCAGTGCTGCAAAGATGTCATGATCAATCAGTTGATTGATGGGGTTCGACCCGTCATTTTATTATATCTTGGGATTGCAGGTCATCTCGATTCCTGGGGCCCGAATCTAGATCGTTTCTTTTTGAGAGACTAAATCTGCAGGTAGTGACCAGAACCGCTGTCTGTGTGTTAGTACAGCAGCTGGATGGGGTCGGGGAGAGCCTGCCGTATTTGACAGAAGCATCGTGTAAGAGGTTTTCGGTTGGGACTCCTATTTGTTAGAAAGGGATAGCCATGACTCGGGGCGGTGGATCCGGTGGGAAGACGAACGCGTTGTCTCCGACTTGTCCGTCGGTCACGCTACCTCGAGTTAGGTATCGGCTCTTATATTACTTTGTTGAGAGGATGTGGTGGATTCAATGAAATAAGAGGAGACCGGAAAGGAACAATATAAAAAAAATAATAATTAAAAATAGGAATAAAAATAATGGCAGGCTTCCAGAAAAGCGAGGAGAAAAACTCAGAGGGTAGAAATCCTCCGAACGGGATGGATGTATGTAATTCGATATTAACAACTACCTAATATTCATAACAAAGTTGACTTTTTGGTCCAGACGGTTTGACAATGTTCATTGTTAGTAGCGACTAATTTGGGTTTGGATCGTCCTTTAAGACATAAGTTTGACAATTGAGAAATTGCCGTCTTACTGCATAAGTGTGTTCTGTTACGGTACCCATGATGCATACCAGGGTTGGCAGCAAACTGCTGCAAATAATGATCGTCCTCGTTTGCCCACAGTTTCCACTGTCACTTCCAGGCGTACCGCTGAAAATATTTCACCATAGGTACAGGTACTCATTGTCAGGGTAAAAATACAAAATATAATAATAATAATAATCCAGAAGGCAACAGGCAATTGGATATATCCAGGACAAATATCATACTATTTAGCCATGGGATTCTGGCGGTTTGGACTGAGAGAATAGCACCAGGTCATCCCTGCCGGAAAGCCACCCCTGATACTACGGCAGAGTAAGCTCTCTTCAACACGGACCAGAGTCAATCGTGCAGGTGTGTACGGCGATGATAATCGATACGAGAAACTCTATTCGGCCTTTCTTTTACCGTATGTGGGATTCTCGACGGAAGGGGACTTGGACTTGTGCATGGCAATACAGTCGAGCGAAGAGAGCCCACTACAAAAAGAGCAATTAATATTAATGTCTCTGCGGATAAGGCAAAAGGCGGGACTGGAAGTGGAACAAGTTGTTCGCATCCATGGGCCGAGTTCCACCTTGGAGTGACGAGCAGTACGCGCTACTTAGGTGCAGAAGAATAGCTTCATGCATGCTCGTTGTGCTTGGTGCCATGTCCATGTTCCTGTTACTTTCTTCTTTTTTTTTTTTTTTTTTTTTTCCCTTGTTTTGAGTTCCATAGCGCTTCGTTGTGTTTGGTTGACACTCGTGGGAGAAGATCCATTCTCGCGTGGGAAAAGGGCGAAGCCCGAGCCGTCTACTGTCGTGTTAGGAGGGTTAGGAGGGTTAGTCTTGTTTTTAGTCCAATCATTTCCCGGAATTGCGGGAGAAGTCTTTGGTACCTTCGATACGCTCCGTACGAAGCACTTCGCTCAGGTACCCGTGACTTCAAAGGTCTAAGGCTGTGATGCAGTGTAGTGCCCGGGCGGTATCTGTATCATACCTCTTTCACACTTTCAGTATGGTAATACCATCGGTGGCCACCCCCTCCGCACGGGCGCAAGGAACGAACCTCACCCGGACAGGTTCTCAATAGAACCGGAAATTTGGTGCGAGATCATTGCGAAGACAAAAGTTTCTATTTCAGGAAGTCTAGTCATGTTCGATATGAATATAGTCCACTTTCAAAGAATATCTTGTCTTCTTTACTACGACTACTAGTCGAACACTACTTACTATCCGGACAAAGTCCTTCCACTGTTTCAAGTACCTAACGTATCAGATGGGGGGGCACCGGTTTATGGTCCCTGACTAGCAGTATCCACCGGCGCAGGAACGAACAAACGGGGGAAAGTCCCGCCTAGTTTACTGGTAAAATTAAATTAAAAACCGCGAAAAGGAAAAGGAAAGAAAAAACAGAAGGACTCGAGTCTCCCCTACGGAGTTAGTCTCTACACTAACTGATACTAACGCTCCAATGAGAACGGGCCCCTCAACCCCTTTACTGCTACTTACCAACTCTTCAGGGTCAAGATCAACTCCCTGGTCCTGTCTTTTTCTTTGCTCCTCCTCTCCGTCCTTTTCTTTTCTTGTTCCGTCCCGTCCCTCGTCTTTCCTTCCCCTCCTTCTTTCCCTCACCTCTCTTTCATCACCACCCCCGGAGAGAGAAAGAGTGTGTGAGAGTTCTTCACCTCGCCTCAACACGTCGGTTCTCTTCTCGTCGGGACGTGCTACATATCTTGGGCAATGCTCGCCAAGTCGATAAATGGGCTGTAATTGAGTATTCGATATCCGGTTCCGCCCATTTGCCCCTACTCGTTCCTTCGTTACAATTGGGTTGTCGGTCGGTCCTTCGTTTCGCCTCGCCCTTTACACCCTCTAGCAGTGCTACGTTCCCTCGTCGATCGGATTTCGGGTCTCTCCAACTGAAACTGCCCTACGATCTTCCTACTCCCTTTCCCGTCAATTAATTTTTAGTATCGACCAGGTCTCGACCCCAGTAGTAGTGAGGCCCGACCAAAAAAGCACAAAGAACACCGGAGATTACATACACCCAAAAACTCCATACTCGTTACTTGTTTATATATTTCCATCATGCCTCCGTCTCTGAGAGAACAGTCTTCCTCCTTTGCCCGGCCATCCACCCGAGACCGCCCGGCCACCCGCGACCAAGGAGAAAACTCGCTGGTCGTTCCTAGTCGCACCTCCTCACTTCATTCCCGCATCACCCAGCCAATCCCGTCACAGATGAACGCGAAACCGGCCCAGCGGACGCCCAAAACCTTGACCCATGCTTACATGGTCTGTGGTGTGGGCCGTGAACCCTCCCAATGGGTGAGGGCGCCCGCACCCGAGCAGGGAAAAATTGGCCATATGAAAGGTGCCGTGGGTCAATTTTGGTTGCCGGAGATCTTGGGCAGCAGCCCCCGGTTGGAACAAGACAATGAGATTGCTAAGTCTTTGCACTCGGCAATGAGGGTGTGTAACCTGCAATGAATTTGAAGGTGAACTTCTCCAAAAGGACAAGCCGGCTGACAGCAACAAACAGGCATGCTTCCCCCACGATGTTGAGATCTGCACAGGCAAGACCCAGCCTCATTGTATACACCATGCTTTCGTTTTGCAGCAAGACTCCTCCCACACTCTCTACGGTATCGCTCTGCGGGTGTGGTCAAGGGCCGATGACAAGCGCGCCGAGACCATTCGCGAGCTGCGCAAGAAGACCGAGCCCGACTTCTACGACAACCCGGAGGAGACATATTGGATCCCATATTGCTTGAGCTTTCTGTCGAGATACCCGTTGTACGACCTGCTGGGTGATTACCTTCGAGGCATGTGGATTCACTGGAACAAGGCCACAAACCTGTTCCACGCCGAGGAGGTGTCCCGAATCCTCAGCTTCCCTGCGCCCCGCCTTAACGACCTTGTTCGCATTGATATGAAGGACTATGCCTTGTGCTACCAATTTCCGTCATCCCCTACAGGGTTCCAGAACTTTGCCATGTGGCCCCTGTTTAATTGTTTGTCGATTCCGAACATTGTTGGGGTTATTGAGGCTGCTGTGTCACCGACTCGTCGCATCATTTTCGTGAGTCATTATTCTGCCATGCTGACAATTGCTGCCGAAACTATTCGGTACTGTGTTCGAGTCTATGAATGGAGTGGGCTGTATGTCCCAGTGGTTCACGCCCGTCACATAAAAGACCTGGTTCAGGAGCCTGGGCCTTACATTCTTGGTGTTACCGCGGAGTGTCGGACATTGTTTAACGCGCCGAACGACGCTCTAGTTGTGGATCTTGACCGGAATTTTGTGCTCACTTCCAGCCCACCAAATGTTTTGACGCCAGGACAACGTACCAAATTCATCAACCGCTTGACACAGGCTTTGAACGGCGATGTCTCCCCATCAGGTGTGCCGAACCACCTCCGGTCTGCATACGCTGGTGGTAAGCTCATCCCAGCTGGTCAGATCATTGTGATGAGAGGAGAGGTCGAGAGCATCCAGGATCCCCAATGGTGGAACCAGGATGCTGTGATGGGCGTCATGGACCATGTATGTGAGAAGCTGGGTCGCAACACTGGCGTCAAGGCCATCTTTGGCGGCTCTGTGAAGAAGCCCCTGATGACCAAGGTGTCTACCCGTCATCTCAACGAGATTGTGCGCGAGCGGAACCAATACTCCCGCGATGCTATGGAGGCTTGGCAGGATTTCATTAACCTGAAGGGTCGCATGGACACTGAGCTGAGCAAGGTTACCAAGCGTAACAACTTCTTGGTTGAGGAGTTGGAGACCTGGAAGCAGCAGTTCCTTAAATTCCAGGCCTTTGCAGAGCAGCTCACCAAGGAGACCTCCGAACTCAAGGTCAAGATTGAGAATCACAAGCGTGAGAACCGTCGCCTCACTGGCCTCATTGACCAGCAGAAGGATGATGTGGCCCGCCTTACTCTTCGTTTGTCTGGCACTGAGAAGCAGCGGGACGATGCTCTTGAAGCGTTGGTTCTTCAACAGGAGATTGCAGAAGAACTGGAGCGCGAGCGTAAGCGTAACCAGCAGGAGCTGTCATCCTTGCAGCACAGTAATACATCTCTGGCTCGGCAACGTGACGAGGCTCAACGGGTGGTTTTGCATCTCCGTAGCCTCATCAATGGACAAACCCACCATATGGAGCACATCATCCGCTCCATCGGTAGCGAGGTCGATATTTCTGAGTTGGCAGAACAAGAGGCGGCCGAGGAAAGCAAAGAATTCAAGGAGAACAAGGCAGCCGAAGCGACACTGGCACCGGCACCAGAGCCTCGGAGAAAATCGAGCACTCCTCGTCTTGATGATAACCGGGCTTCTAGGGTTGTGAAGGACATGAGCCCCGAACTGGAACAGCATCTCCTAAACATTGGTAATGGGCACAACCGCTCTCTCGCTCGTCTTAGCATAACTGATGTTGCAGATCGCTACCTGCGGGACAAGACCGACGCGATCTCCGACATCATCCGCAGCATCAGCGAACAGTGCGCTGCTGCCGTGGAGGGCCTGCACTTGGCTCAAGATGCGGAGGATGATGACTCAGATGAGTCTAGCAAGACACTGAATGGAAACAGACTGGCACCCGAGGATCAGTCTTCAATTCGCGAGGGCAGCGAAATGGGCGACGTCGATAACTCCCTTCACGCCCGCCGGGGCTCCAGTGTTCCTCCCACACCAGACTTGGTACATAACCGGTCGAGCACCTCAATGTCCATGGTGAGCAATTCAACCTTTCCGGAAAGGTCGAGCCAACAGTATGGACCAGGTGAGGTGCCCACCAGGATAGTTGAGGATGATGATGAGCACAGCCATGAGACCGATGGTCTTGATGACCAGACTGAGACCGGAACTCTGTCTAAGCAGACCAGCGAGGATCTCATGCGGTCGAGCACTTCCCGGCTGGTCGCTTAAATTGCCCATCGCCCCGATGATGCAACGCTAGTTTCAACGACTTTGACACGATCTCTGCTCCTCATCCTCTTAGTTAGAGCGAGTTGTGCAATGGCATTGTTTTGACTTTTGCTTTCGTCTTATTCTTTCCCACCTTCCGTTTTGGATATTCCCACTGTCGCCTTTTCAGCTTTGGTGATCGCTTTTCTGTCTTATTCATTTTATTATCTATTTATTCTTCTATTGGCGGACTTATTTTCTTCTTGTCTGTGCTGGGATGGATCGATTGTCCTGTTATTTCTTTTTCTCCATCCGCACCATTGGCGTTTCTAACTTCATTTCTTTCCGAGACCAAGCGGTCAGGACTTTTGTCTCTTTAAGTCAATTTTTTTCACGGCATCCCATGTGGGACCACCACACTCATTGTGTTTCCTTGTTGTGGCACATATATTTCCTTTTGTCTATAGTTTTGAGTGGGGCTGCTTTGAGAGCTGCTGTAGTCCAGGATATTCTGAATTGGACAATGTCTACCATTCGGTAGATTGATTGAATTCAAATTGTTTATACAAGAAATAAGATTCAGTCTGTAGGATATATTTGTGCAGGCAACTAAGCAAGTTTGCCAGGTACGAACGGGTGTCCCGCACTCAGTCCGCCGCAAACAGCCCATGCCTGTCCATTTACATAGCTGCTTTCATCACTACCCAGGAAAAGGGCCGCCCGAGCAACCTCATCAGCAATAGCACCTCGCTGCAAGGGGTTCAACTGTCCGATCTTACGCTGCGTGCCTCTGGCACGGGCGGCGTCAAACACGGCTTGCGTCATGCCTGTCTCGATCAAGCCAGGGCAGATAGCGTTGATGCGTATACCGGTGCCCGCCAGTTGATACGCACATGTCTGAGCAATAGAGACGACAGCTGCTTTAGATGCAGAATAATCGGTCGAACCGGCATTCGAGCGCAGGCCGGCAACTGACGCGGTGCAGATGATAGAACCGGAAGGATAAGGCTTCGAGGCCGAAGTCTGTTTCATGGCGCTGGCCGCATGTTTGACAGCCAAAAAGACACTAGTGACACAGCCATCAGTACATGTCCTCCTTTATCCATCAATCTCAACAGAAAGCGGACTAACCCAAGAGTATTTGTCTTTAGCGTCTTCATAAAGTCCCCCCCAGAAATATCTGTGAAAGCCTTTGGCTGGCCCACAATCCCTGCGTTTGCGAAGAATATATCGAGCCTGCCGTAGCGCTGAATTGCATCATCAACCACGGATTTCACGGCCACTTCATCGGCTGCGTCGAACTGGCGGGTATGGACGTCGACACCTGGATAGAGAGATTCGATTTCACGCTTGTGAGTTGCCAAATGTGTGGGGTCGTAGTCACAGATGTAGACGGCCTTGGCACCATTGTGAGCGAACTGATGTGCGCTGGCACGACCGATGCCGGCAGGTGAGTTGGCTCCTTTTTTTTTTAAAAAAAAAAAGATTTCCATCGTTAGCACTCTATGCTGTTTGATGTACATAAAGAATTGTGGTTCAGTGTACTGTAAGGGGTATTCTGGACTCACCTGTTACGATCACAACCTTGTCCTTGACACGGCTATAATACATTTAGCATTGGGCTATGCATGCAATTGTTTCGCGCTTGAGAATGCTTGTTTGAAAGATTGAGATACACTTACGGACCAACCGAGTCCTGAGCAACTTGTCTAATCTTGGGGATACCTTCAAAAGTGCCTGCGTCGGGGATGCCCTCCACCAGCTGTTGACTGACTGCTTGGAGACGTTGTTTGGCAGCTCCGGACATCTTCGATATTTTAGTCAATGGCAATTGCTGTATGTGTACTCTGTATACCGGATTCGATCAATAATCTAAAAAGGTGAGATATACAACCCTTGAATGAATGTCAGCAGCTAGGTATAAATATAAAGCAAGAAATACGCGACAAGTATCGAGGTGGTTATGCCTCTAATGGCCCCAATTAGCTCGGATATTGCTCCATGGGTCGGTTGTTTTGCGGGGAGCCGAGGTTGTGGTCAGCTGACTTGAAATAGGACGATTACATAACTGAAAAACAAGAATTTGGTGAGTAAGCCGATCTACCGCGTTAGTACCAAACAGGCAAAGTCACATGCCTTGTCCCACGTCATGGCCAACGCTCTTTGCTTTGCTTAAACGCATTCCAGACTGCTTTGCTCGTGTATTTTAATTTATTTTCTTCTTTTCTTGCCTTTCTGGTTGCCCCCTTCGCGAACCTTCTGTCGCTCTTTACTCTTCACTCTTCCGTTCATCGTGCTTTGTTGTTCTTAGGTTTTGTGGGATGATCTGCAGATTTCTACCCATCCATGAGACACAATCACGACATCCCACCAGCGAGAGTACCAAGGGCTAATTAGATGAGACGGTTACCGGGCTTCCATATCGACTTGTCTATTAATAGTCTCACAGTAAAGACAGACTAAACAGTGATTCATGAAGTCTACAGGTCAATTCTCCGTCTGCTCAACACACTTTGCAAAGAGTCATGGCGGAGTCTGATATCGAACATCCGCAGCGTCGGTCATCGTCACGGACGTCCTCCTCTTCCCGTCACAGCCAAAAGCCTAGACCCATCCGTACAAGATCTCAGAAACGACAGTCAGCTGCGTCTTCCAATGCTACCACCACTGACCTCACGTCATTTCCTTCCCTTTCGCCGGACCGTTCAGTAGAGGGATTTTTCGGAAAGCCTGCGTTAAACCGCGCTCTTACGAACGCATTGCTGGATGATCACGAAAGCGTCGATAGTAGTAGTTCGGGTGAGATGACAGGTCGTGATCGAAGAGCAACGCTAGCGAAGTTGACGAGCGGAATGCCGCGAACGTCTGGCCGTGCGGCTTTGTTTGACGATGCTGCTCCGGTCCATGATTTCCCTGGTGCGCTACATTTGGCGGATGATGCACATATTGAGCGGTTGATTGCTGGCACGGGGGCTGTGAAGTTGGTCCGGCAGTTTGCACGCGATTTGGCTCAGCGGGATGCTGAGATCTCGTCACTGAGACAGCGGGCTGATGCGAGGGAGAGAGAGTTGAAGAGGATGCTGAGGGAGGTTTCCGTCTCCAATCAGGATATTGAGCGGCGGCTTTATGCGCTGGAAAACTCGCCCCGGAGGGCCGAGAAAGAACATGATGATAACGGTAATGCGGAACAGGAGGCCGGTTCTTCCTCTGGAGTTCATGGGCTGATGCAGCAAGCGATGTCTGATGAAGTAGGCTCTCGTCAAGAGGAGTTACCAGAAACCACTGCGGCGCAAGCTACCGTTCGAGGCCTGCAACGCCTGGAGAGCGACGCCAAATCGGGCACATCTAGCGTCGAATTGGGATCAGGAACTACGCGAAAGAGACAAAGCTCTCTGCGCAACTGGCAGGATTATCTTTTTGGCAGCAATACGGGCAGTAAAAGGACCAGCCGAGCGAGCAGCATAATGACTGATGTTGGTGAGGTCGATGAAGAAGATACTCGGCGACAGCGGAATCCGAATAATATAGCGCGCCGGAAAGCGCTCGACGAACAACTTTTCAATCCTCCGGATGAGCAGACGAGCTCTACGGGCGAGATTATGGGTAAACACGTTGCAGGCGTCTCGGTCAACGGTGACGATGCTAGTATTCATTCGCGCAAGTCGTCGAAATCTGTATCGTCTTGGACAGTCAAGTTGTTTGCCGGAAAAGCCCAAGCAGGCAAGGAAGAAACTAACGCAGAAGCGCTGCGTGGCCGAGCTCTGTCAACCAATCGAGGGAATAGCAAAGGAGATTCTCCATCGGTTCAAGCAACCTCCAAAGGGGGTATGTCGGCGGTGGCTGCCTTGAAAAGGATCAACAGCAACACGAGCATGCACGGGACGCCTGGAAAATTGCCAAATGGCCCGGGTGCGACGACTCGATCAAATCAGATTGGGCGTAGACATGCAGCCTCAAGTGTTTCACACGGGGCAAGCTCGGAAACCACTGACAAGAACCCAACCAATCTCGGACCAGTTGAGATGGATGCTATACTTCCGATGGAGTCGCGACCTCCGACACTCTCACATATGTACAACAACTATCAGCCTGGTGAGCTTTTGACAGACAGATTTGGGTTCATTTATGATCAGCGCCGAAAAAAGAGGCAGCGAGAGGCCAGTTTGCTCAAGAATAACAATAACCGGTTAAGTATCGCGGAGACCCTGAACAGTTTCCGAAGCGATAACTCCGACGGTGATAATGATGATCTTCAGAAGCTGCCACAGTTCACTGCAGAGTCTACGCGCTCGCCCGTTCCTGCATCTCCTGAGGACCCTGAGGCTGGTAGTGTTGCAATCCGGAGGTGGCAGGACTACCTGAGGGTTGCGACAGGACCAGCCGAACTGCTGTCTCATACGCCTTCTGCTGGTCCTATAGTGTCCCTAACCGCAGGTGAGCGCCAACCTCGAGGCCCTGGGGTTGCTGTCGATAAGCGTGGCTCGCTCTCAGTCAATGCGAATGCCCAACCGTCGGCATCAACATCGACTGTTGTTGCAGATCGTCCGGAATTTGCTGGCACATCGAGTGATGAGCCTACCACTACGGCAGCAACCGTCACTGCAAACGAAAACGAACCTGTGAAGTTGCTTCTTGAACAACTGACAGACCTTCATGACTCACTGCAGCGCGACAGGACTGTTCGGTGGAACGAGTTTCTTCGTAAGGTGCGTGCGGAGCGGAAGAAGGAGGGAGAAGCTGCTGCCGCCGCTGCTGCTACTTCGGATCGGCCTTTGCAATCTGTAGATATGCCTGAGGCGTCCCTTACAGACGGCGAGGTTGTAGGGATAGCTGGCCTGGGAAATAAGGGCAAGGTCGGCCGTGCGAAGTGGCGGGAGTTCCGAGCTCTTGTTCTCGGAGGAATTCCCGTTGCACTTCGAGCGAAGGTCTGGTCCGAATGTAGCGGCGCGTCTTCCATGCGTATACCTGGTTACTATGATGACCTAGTGAAGGGTGTCGGTGGCAATGACCCCGACCAATCTGTCGTTGCACAAATCGACATGGACATCAACCGGACTTTAACAGACAACGTATTCTTTCGCAAAGGCCCAGGTGTCACTAAACTCAAGGAGGTTCTCCTCGCATACGCCCGTCGCAACTCGGAGGTGGGATACTGCCAAGGCATGAATCTCATTGCCGCGTCTCTACTTCTCATAACGCCGACAGCAGAGGATGCATTTTGGATTCTAGCATCCATGATCGAGATCATCCTTCCAGAACATTACTACGATCATGGTCTGCTGGCGTCCCGGGCTGACCAGGTTGTGCTGCGCCAGTACATCTCCGAAGTTCTACCAAAGCTAGCCGCACATCTAGAGGCTCTTGGCGTTGAATTAGAGGCATTGACATTCCAGTGGTTCCTATCCGTATTCACGGATTGCCTCTCTGCGGAAGCATTGTATCGCGTCTGGGACGTGGTTCTATGTCTCAATGTCACCAGCGTCATCAATCCAGTCCCGACTTCCGCCAATACATCAACGTCTAGCCCTCGAGATCCCAATGACACCACCGCGTCCACTATCAAAGACCTCACATC